GACATCATGTCATATTCCACTCGAAAACACTAACCAAGCTTCTTCTTGCCTCTCAAAGCTTTGATGGTGTAGTCAACGGCCGTATGAGTCTTTGTCTTTGTATCCTCTATCAAGGGAACCATACTTATTCTTTTAAGATCCTGTTGCGGTTAAGGTTCTTATACTCAATCATACACATGACATCAAGTCATATTCGACAACAAAACACTAACCAAGCTTCTTCTTGCTTTCCAAAGGTTTGATGGTGTAGTGGAAGTCCGTATGAGTCTTTGTCTTTGTATCTTCTAACAAGGGAACTATACTTAGGCTTTTATGATCTCGTTGCGGTTTAGGTTCTTATACTCAATCATACACATGACATCAAGTCATATTCGACTCCAAAACACTAACCAAGCTTTTTCTTGCTTCTCAAAACTTTGATGGTGTAGCTTAAGTCTGTATGAGTCTTTGGCTTTGCATCCTCTAACAAGGAAACACTACTTAGGCTTTTAAGATCAGGTTGCGGTTTAAGTTCTAATACTCAATCATACACATGACATCAAGTCATATTCGACTCCAAAACACTAACCAAGGTTCTTCTTGCTTCTTAAAGCTTTGATGGTGTAGCCGAAGTCCGTATGAGTCTTTGTCTTTGTATCTTCTAACAAGGAAACACTACTTAGGCTTTTAGGATGATGTTGCGGTTTAAGTTCTTATACTCAATCATACACATGACATCACGTCATATTCGACTCCAAAACACTAACTAAGCTTCTTCTTGCTTCTCAAAGCCTTGATGGTATAGCCAAAGTCCGTATGAGTCTTTGTCTTTGTATCTACTAACAAGGAAACACTACTTAGTCTTTTACGATAAGGTTGCGGTTTAAGTTCTTATACTCAATCATACACATGACATCAAGTCATATTGGACTCCAAAACAGTAACCAAGCTTCTTCTTGCTTCTCAACGCTTTTATGGTTTAGTCGATGTCCTTATGAGTCTTCGTCTTTGTATCTACAAACATGGAAACACTACTTAGGCTTTTAAGATCCGGTTGCGGTTTAAGTTCTTATACTCAATCATACACATGACATCAAGTCATATTCGACTCCAAAGCACTAACCAAGCTTCTTCTCGCTTCTCAAAGCTTTGATGGTGTAGCCGAAGTCCATATGAGTCTTTTTCTTTGTATCTTCTAACAAGGAAACACTACTTAGGCTTTTAGGATAACGTTGCGGTTTAAGTTCTTATACTCAATCATACACAAGACATCAAGTCATATTTCACTCCAAGACACTAACCAAGCTTCTTCTTACTTCTCAAAGCTTTGATGGTGATAGTAGGTTTTTAAGATCAATTATCCTAAAACACTATCCTGCCGTTGTAGTATTTTAGGTGTCAATCCAAATGGGTGTGATGCAGACAGATGAGATATGATCAGAAGTTGTTAAGTCAAGCCAAACAGAATTTGGTTGGGTTTCTAACAGTCCTAGTGTTGATGCAGAAAACAGTAAAAAGTCACAGAAACGACTGATATACTCGATCGCAGGGTCGACTGCCAGAAGGGACCCCGTGATCGAGTACAACAGGATGACAGAGAGTGAAAATGCAGAAATGGACCAGTTTACTCTATCACGCAGTCTCACTGTTAGTAGACTGATGTGATCGAGTAGAATGGTTGAAAACAGAAAAATACTAAAATTCAATAGCAAGTGAATGAAGCAGGTAAGTAAACAGAGAAATCAAATGGATGAGAAATTCCTAAGGATGGGGTAATCGAATAGTATGGTCTCCCTGATCAATTCAGTTGATTAACAAATCTCAATTAAGCTATCCCTAGACAATAGGTTCAACAACAGATTAATTCACTCCCGTGATAGAAATCCTCAAGCATAGCTAGACACAGACCTAATTCCCATTAGCGATCTCTAACTAAGCAGGCAATAAGAACCGAATGTTAAAGCCAATAACCGCTCTAAACGGCCAATCCCTTGGGATAGAGACGATTATCACTGGAATTAGTAGATCCAATGTTCCATTAAATGCCTTCTAGGTGCTGGAACGTCTAGGACTGGATTCCAGTTGATCAGAAAGGAATAAGCAGTAAACACAACTAATCCAGAAGGGATTCAATAAAGCCACACTTAACCAACAGATTCGACCAGGGGTTCCACAACTACTCTATCCCATCCTCAGAAATCCTAATCACTACTCAGATAACATGCTGAAAGACAATAACATAGAAACGAAAGATGAACAAGCAAATGAAAGCAAAATCTGAATAACTTAGAAGAAAAATCGAAATACAAAGTTGCAGGAATGAAAAGCGGGTGCTGAATAATAGTGCGAAATTCGTGTCTCTAAAAGTGCATGTCTTAGGGCGAAACCCTTAGAGACTTATTTATACTAAGATAAGAAAGCGGGCTTCGAGCCCACTTAACGGCCCATGGACGGCGTGATCAAGATTGACGGCTCAAAGTGGGCTTCCAGATGGGCTTCGAATGGGCTTCGAATGTGCCTTCTCTTCTCTTCTCTTTCTGATGCTCAGGTTATCTAGTTGAGTGCGGATTGATCAGAGGGTCGAGGTGGTGGTCGAGTAGGTTGGTTGACAGAATGGTCTGGGTTGCTTCTTGGCCTCTATGATCGAGTAATTGTGTCAGCTCTCAGGATGGACTGGTTCTTCTCCTCTGCGATCGAGTATAACTGGTGGACTGGCAAAGTGGACTGCCTGGTCGCCTCTGCGATATAGTAGAATTGCAGAATGGACTGCCTCCTCTCCTCTGCGGTCGAGTAAAAGTGTCTGGATGGACTGCTGAGCTGACTGCTTCCCTCTCTGCTACTGGTGATCGAGTATGTTTGGTGGAAGTGTGACTTTCTGTTCTGTTTTCCCTCTTTCTGAGCACCAAAAGCTCCAAAACACCTGAAACAACTCCAAAATGCAGAATGTATGCAAGACTAGTCCTATACTCGACTAAAGATGCAAAATGTACAAAAATGATGGTGAATGCTATGAAAGATGGATGAAACTAGACTCAAAATGGTGATAAAAGGATGTGTAAAACATGCAAATTATAGACATATCAACTCCCCCAAACTTAGTCTTTGCTTGCCCTCAAGCAAACAAGTAGACATAAGCTGAAGGAGAGGTTTGAAGGTGGGGATTCAGAACCAAAGCATCAGATAAATCAGTAGACTCAATGTCCAAGTTGACAGTTCTAGGATGCGATATTATCGAACTCTACTCAAAAACGTTAGCCATGCCTTATTATAGTTCAATCCCACTCTTATACTCGACCTACACATGCTTCAAATCTACCAATCCCTTTAACATTCATTAGTTTAGGAACGTGAATCAGGCTATGCATCATCAATGAACTCATTTGGCTAAGCTGAAGGTCAGAAGACAAAGATGGTCCCTTTCTGGTGGTTCAAGTTTATAACAGGGGACTCTCAAAAGAAAAGGACTGAGCTTTAGGAGAATGCTCATCTACCTAAAAACATAGACAATGTATACACCAGCAGATAGTACTACCCTCAAGCCCAAAATATGATCCTAGTTCTACCACTTGCACTCAAGGCATTTTTTTCTCATTCTTATCTTGGATCAAACCACTCTTTCTTTTCTTTGACTATTATTCTAAGGAGAAGTTTCTTTTACTTTGATTGATCTAGTGGACTTTGGTTTTCTTTGACAACTATGGCTCTTGTTATCTTCTTGTGATCAAGACTTTTCTAGACTTTTTTCTTCTGTTGTTACAGAGCCTATATTTTTTTTTTTGTTCCCCAAAATCCATTACTAGACTAACTTGTTTCTCACTTCCTTCTCCTAAGAACATCAACATTTCCTTTCTCTCTTATTTTTCTCATATACTCGATCCCCACTTCAAGAATAGACACCCACCTAGTCCTATCTAGCCCAGAAAACGTGGACTAGAACTACATGAGACACTACTCTTGTCAGCTCAAACCTAACACTTTCTTCCAAGCTCAATCCTGAAACAGGCCTCACAATCACACACGATATATAACAGGGCTCAAAAGAAAGGTTTGGTTAAGGGCAAGGGAAACTACTTCAATGATGGAAGCAGCTACTTGGGTTAGCAAGGGTGGTGAAAAGCTTAAACAAAACCCAAGTATGTATATGGTATCCATGAGTTCAAATTCGATGCTAAGACATGATAATTCCAAGTCAGATTCAGGTTCAAATTGATAGGGAATGGTATCAGATAATAACAGCGTGATCGAGTAGAGCATTCAAGACATGGTGCAGTTTTACTTCAATTTCATTGACTACGCATCAGACAACTAGCAACTATGAACCAAAATGCTTACAAGGCTATCTCATCATAATCCCCAGTGCATATGTGACAATCCTATATGAAACAGCCTAGACCCAATCCTAAATGTGATGCAACTATATGAACACTCTGTTTTTGTAGAATACATTTTCAGAAATTTTTCAATTTTTTTAGTTTTTTCTATGCCTTAGATGAAGTTAAGACTCAAATGATGCAAATAAGACTCACTAGCAAACATGTTAAATACTTCTTGAATCCTCCCCCAAACTTAAACTACACAGTCCCTTGTGTAGTAGAAGTCTAAAGAAGAGTTCAAGAGACACTAAAACAAAACGAAAGCAAAAAATGGTATATACAATGATGGTTGTGTGTGGTACCTCAGTTGAAGACGCTGGGACCTTGTTGTTGTTCCTCCTCCTCTGGTGCGGGATACTCGATCGAAGTATTCACAGGGCGTTTGGCCCGGCGATCGAGTGGTCTCCTAGCGTGCAGGATCCTTGTCGAGCTTCTAGAGTGAACCGGTGCTTGCTTCCTCCTTCGCCTGTGCTCTCTAGGCTTGTGAGAAGAATGCCTCGCTGGTGTCAGGGAAGTGTCAGCTTCCCTTGGTTCATAGGCGGATTGCCTGGGCACTTCGTAGACGACTTGACTCGGCTCATAGGTGGAGTCCCTTGGTGCATCCGAATCATAGCGTCTGGAGGGCATCTCTTCTGGAGGGTCTACTCTTGGTGCAGCGGTGCCAGAAGAGGAACAGCTCATCTTCTTGTGTATGGACGTGATCATCTTGAAACACTTATCAATGACCTTGTCCTGGAACTTACACCAGGCTTGCACCTTGCTGAGCTTCTCATGACACTCAGTGAGACTCTTGCTCTGTCTTGATGGCGGCTTGTGCTCTACGAAGTAAAATCTCCTGGTGTTGTATTCCTCCATATCCAGGTCCACTTCTTCCTCCTCGGCTTCTACTTCTTCGGCTTCTTCTTCTTCAGCGGGTTGCTCATTGTTGTTCACGCCATATAGTATCTCGACTGGTGGTTTGAAGTCGATGTTATCCTGGTCCGCGATCGTTGTGAACGTTTGGTAGGGGAGGAGAATCTTCACTCCTTCAGTTTCTGGGTGATCAAACCTCCAGGCGTACCTTTCATCAATCAACTCCCAATCCAATGACAGCGTCTGCCTCATATGCCTGATATTGATCCACTTGGGCGGGATTTCTTCGGACTCCAAAGGCACTCCACAAGCTAGCAGTATGGGTGTTATCAGCCCACCCATACACAAAGTTCCCTTGGCGCTCTTATTGGCGTTTGTGACCGCCCATGCTTTGTAACTCCAGAGGTGACCAAGCAAGAAGAAAACAGAAGACGATTTGGATTTATCACCTATCAACACGGTGCTGTTCTTGGTCACCCCTAGGGGTTCCTTTAGCGCCATCACCATCACTTCCATCTCAGCGTTGATGATGGTTCCGGTGATCTCTCTTGCGAAGAGGACATTGGCAAGGAGACGGTGGAAGTAGCGGAGTACTGGGCTCCTGATGGTGTTGCTCTTGGAGAGGGCTGAGTAGAACTTGACATCATCGCCAATGGTCTCCCAGAGCCCAGTAATCTCCTTCCTTTTGATCTGGTGGCCAGTGCCAACCCCGCTATGAAACCCGAAGAGAGACTCTAGCTGCTTGATAGTGAAGACATAGTCTTTACCATGGATAGTGAAGGTCAGGTAGCCAAGTCCGAAGTCTCTTTCTCTCTTACTCGACCTCTTAGAGAATATCTCCACCTGCAAAGAGGACAGAAACTGGATCGTTTCTTCCTTGAACGCGTTGTAGGCACGGTTCATCAGCACGAACAGACTGGTCTGTTCGTAGAGATACTCGATATCATCAGAGATACCAAGCTCCACCATTGTCTCAGGATGCGGGTACCTCGTTCCGACGAAATTGTGTCGCCTGAAGAGCTCACAGTACTCTTCCATCGAGACATCGTTGGTCTCCCTCTTCCAAGGCTTAGATTCAGCACTTCTCACCGAGTTGTAGTCGATGAGGTTAGTTGGCTCCCTAACGCTTTGCTTTCCTCTAACGATGTCGTCTCGGAACCGAGAATACTATTGGTCTTCTCTTTCAGGTTGAGAAGTGGACCATGACTCCTCTTCATTGACATTCTAGTCAAGGTCTTGGCTGGAGTTGTAGCTGAATGAAGTCATTGGCGCGGTCAAGTGAGTTGGGTTGAGAAACGGACTAAGGGTGAGCCTTGGTGATCGAGTATGACAAGGTGGTTAGAGGGCGAGTATTTTGATCCGTGATCGAGTAAACGAAAAGAGAAGATGGGCGGTTGTACTACTTCGGTGATCGAGTAGACTAGGTGAGAAACTGAACGGTTGGTTGGCTGTTTGACTCGGTGATCGAGTGAGAGCGGTGAGAGGCTGTTGATGGAGGCTTGGTGATCGAGTATGAGCGATGGAGGGCTAGTGTTTGGCTGGTTTGTAGGCAGTTTCTAGAGAGAGAAGTGAGCTTATGATGCTAGAGCTTTGTAGTGAAAGAGAGAGAGGTGTTGGTGTGTTTGATTCTTCATTGAAGCTTGGTATTTATAGGTGAATGGTGAGTTAGGAGCGCCCTTGAGTGTGTGGAAGAGAGTGTGTGCAGCTTTTGGCTTTAGATCATGTGGAGGAGAGTGGAGCTTCCATTGAACACATGGGGAAAGAAAGTGGGTAAGTTGGTGGCTTCTTCTTGGTGGGAGACAAGGCATGGGCGTGGGGGACAAGGAGACATGATGGGATGTCTCCATTGACTCAAGATGAGAACTCCTTAAGCATCATTAACCAATTCGCAACCCATTAGAGTTGGATTACTCTACCTCCGAGCTTGATTAACACTTGATACTCCAGCTATGCCTTAGCTCCAGAACACTAAAATCGGCCCTCCTTGACAATTATACTCGATCCTCATGGTGACAGGGTCCTTTGTTACACATTCTCATCGTCGAGTTCTCCTTGTGATCGAGTATCTAGTGATGAATTTGAATTTTTGTGAGCAAAACCGCAAATACTCGACCCCATACTCGATCACAAGGTCTCCAGGTGCAACAGAAAATTTTCAAATTTTTGCACTCCTCTGAACTGGTATACTCGATCCCCACCTTTGAGATAGAGTAAATTTTGAATTTTTTTTACTCTATCTCCACGTCGTTCATGTGTTCCTGAGAACCACAAACACAACAAAAACGAATCAAAAATAACAAGAAAGAAAAATTATTTACAAGGATAATCATGGGACTTCCTCCCAAGTGAGCTTGTTTAAAGTCTCTAGCTTGACTCCTCACACTTATTGAGAAGGGAATGTGTAACAGAGAGGATCTGCATAGTCCTCTCCTTCCCTGATCTCATCATACTCAGCATCTTCCCTTGAGAGATGTGCGGCAGAGTACTCAATTCCTATTTCTCTGAAGTAGGCCTCTTTCTCTTCTGGTGGGTAGTCTATTTCTTCGGACCATAGTGGAATGAACTTCTTTCTCCGGATGACGCCAATGCTGAGTTGAGGTCGAGCTTCCTGTTGCATTTTATCCATTTTATCGTTAAGTTCTTCAACAGTGCGGGCTAGCTTCCCTATGAGTTCTTCTTGCTCATCAGATTTCTCTTTGAGCTCTCGCAAGTCAGGTGCAGAGGTTGTGCTTGACCGGGTGACTGAATTCGAAGGCTGAGGTTGAGCTGTGATCTGTTCTTCTGTAGTTGACCTTTGCAAAGTTTTGTTGATGTCAAACTGCAGCTTGATGTGCTTCCCAAGGTTGAGACTTATTCTCCCATTTTTGACATCTATCATCGCTCCCACTGAGGCTAAGAAAGGTCTTCCTAGGATTAGAGGATCCTTAGGTTCTGCTTCCATATCAAGCACAACGAAATCCGTAGGCACTTCCACTCCATTAATCATTACTGGTACATCTTTTAGCAGGCCGAAATGTTTTCTTAAAGACCTATCAGCAAGGATCAAAGTCAGGTCGCAAGGCCTCTACTGAGTGAATTCGAGCTTCCTTGCCACAGAGAGTGGCATTAAGCTTACTAAAGCTCCTAAGTCACACAAACAACTGCTGAAAGCCAATTCCCCAATGGAACATGGTAGAGTGAAAGATCCAGGATCTTCCAGCTTTTCCTGAATGCACCTCTTAACAGTAGCTCTAGAAGGATTAGCATCACATTCGTCATCTGAATCTTGATACCTTTTGATCCTTTCCAGAATTGAATTTCTCACATCTTTGTGCGGGTCCGGGATCAGGTTGAGAACTTCTATCAGAGGCATCACTGCTTCCATCTCATCAAGCTGCTTCTCTGCAAGAGACTTGTATCTACCTGTCCATGCTTTCCTGAATTTCCATGGAAGAGCACGTGAAGGTAATGGTGCTGGCTTGAATCGTTTTACCATCCTCTCAATGATGGCTGCTTTCTCGTCCAAGGTAGACTTAGTTTGAAGGCGAGATCCAGCTATATGGTTGAGTCCAACAACTGAAATTTCAATCTGACTAGAGGTCTCCCCTTCTTGAACATCACTGTCCTCACTGATTGAGTTGGAGACATGTCGAGTAGGCAGCTCTCGATCATGGCAGATAGTGATAGCGTGAGCGGTGGCGTATTCTTTCATGTTCTGAATGGACTTCCCTGGAAGTCCTGTAACTTTGGGAGCCGAGGTCGACGCAGTTTGTCCTTCCATGTATCTGAACATAGAGGTAAGTGCCTCAAGTTTGATGTTCAGATCGTTGAAAGTGCAATCAACCTTGTTGTGGATTTCTGCCATCTTTTTGGCGAGATCCATTGCTTCTGCTGCTTGTCCCTGGAGAATCTGCTATAACATGTTCTTCAAGTCTGAATCTGGAGTTGGTGAAGGTTGTTGGTTTTGCTGCTGTGTGTACCCAGGTGGTGGAAGTTGCTGCTGTTAGGTGCCCTGATACTGCTGCTTAGGAACATACCCCTGACCTTGGTTGTATGGAACAAAGGGCTTGAGTTGATTCTGCTGTTGCGAAGGGTAGACTTGGTCCTGCGGGTTGGCAACATTTGTACTTCTGTAAGACAGATTGGGTTGATTCTGCTTGTAGTTGTTGAAACCTTTGTTGTAACCTCCTTGGTTTTGCACATAGCTGACTTCTTCAGACTCCAGAGTCTCCCCATCCTAAACTTGGAACGTCTCATCATCACCCAGAAAATGAACTTGCTTCTGTTGCACAAGGAGTAACTTGTCCGGCTTGTCATTCAAAGCTTTCATATCCCTACGGTGCTTCTCATTAGAATCAGAGTTGGTGCGGATGATTCTATCGTACTCTTCATTGTAATTCCCATCCGACTGTGCCAAATTCTCTACCAGCTCCCATCCTTCTTCAACGTCCTTGTTGAGGAAGTTCCCGTTGGAAGCGGTATCAAGAAGCATCATGATCTTGGGAAGGACACCTCTGTAGAGAGTGATGAGAAGTGAAGCTTTTTTGAACCCGTGATGAGGGCATTTGGTCTGATAGCCTTTGAAGCGCTCCCATGCTTCACAGAAGGTTTCAGTATTCTGCTGTGTGAATCCTGATATCTCATTCCGGAGTCTGGCAGTTCTGGAGTTAGAGAAAAATTTAGCCAAGAAGGCTTTCTTGCAGTCGTCCCAGGTTGTGACTTATCCCTGGGGTAGCGTCTTCTCCCACAGATGGGCTTTGTCTCCAAGTGAAAACGGGAACAGGCGAAGCTTGAAACCATCTTCACTCACTCCATTAATTTTTGTAAGGCTGCAGAGCCTTTCAAACTCGTCCAGGTGATCGAGTGGGTCTTCCATTGGCAGGCCGTGAAATTTGTTCCCCTGAACCATAGCAATGAGACCGCTCTTGATCTCGAAATTATTGTTCTGAACCGGCGGAGGGACAATGCCATGACGCAGGTTATGGTTATGTGGGAAGTCACCAGCGCCAATGTTGTTGGGCAATTCTTGCTCATC